GCCGGTCGGCCCGCGTTTGTGCCTCCCCCCCTGCCGTCTCCTCGCCGTTGCCCATCACGGCCTCGTCATCCGCTTCCTCCTCCACCTCCTCCAAGTCCCACTATGGCATGCTGGTGGGCTCCTCCTCCTCCCAGGCAGGCTACCACATCACATTGGAACCCACCAATCACCAGCAGCTCACCCCTTCTCAGGAGCTGACCGAACAGCTGGAGAAGCAGCATTCCCCCGGCACTTTTAACCTACCTCCCCAGGATCTGAGTGTGTCTGCGGACGGTTCCAAGGGGCAGCAACCCAAGGCCGGAGGGGGCACTGCACCCACCAACGGATCCAGCTTCCCCGACCTATCCCCACTAAACCCTCCTAAAGAAACCACGTATCAGATTGAGAACTTCGCCCAAGCCTTTGGTTCTCAGTTCAAATCAGGGAGGCGGACCCCTCTGAGCTACGGCAGCGATCCAACAGCAGAAGTTGACCATCGGATACGGACTTCAGTGTCAGAATTCTCAGGGTATACCAGTTTGTTAGCTGATGTCAGTGAGCCAGTAAGTTCAGGATCAAAAACCCCAACAAGCCAAAGTTTCAGATAAGGGTCAAACAAGGTGAAACCAACAGGGGGCTGTTCTGTTACTGTCCACACAGTTTCCCAATGCCTATTTTATTTTCTTCCCGTAGCAAAGATTTGTTTTTTGAAACACTGCCATTAATGTTAATACGAAATGACCAGGGAGGGTCTTCCATGGCCTAAAATGCAATTTTTATTATGTATTTAGTAGTTTAATTTCTGTTTTTTTTTTTAAGCATAGTGATTTTTGACCTTAGCTTCAACTGTAATTTAAAAAAAAAAAAAACAAACATCTAGAGGGTAGCTATGAATTTTTTTTTTTTTTTTTTACCAATCATCAACCATTATTTTAATAATTTGTAAAGTAATAATATTAAGTTCAGTAATATTACCAGTTGTTGCAGGGAAAGCCCATAATTCAAATGGCAAAAAAAAATTATATATTGTCTGTTACAATAAATATTTTTATCTCAGGAAAATAGACAAAATTGTGTAATAAAACTTTGTATTATGAGATGCAATTAGCACAGTTTTTACAGGTGTTCTTTGAGACGTCAAAGCTTTGACTTTTTTGATTTCCTTTTTTTTTTTTTTTTTTTTTTTAACTGCCTGTAGCTATTGATGAGATGACGGTACTGTTGTGACTAGGTGAACACACCCTTGGTTTTCTTTTCTCTTTGGTGAGCCACATGTAACACGAGGTAGTTTGTGCAGGACAACAGATACTGGGAGGTTTGTTTTTGTTTTTTTTGGTTTTTTTTTAGCGGCCCACATACCTCGCATCAGGCGATGGCGACGTTTGTCAAAACGACCACTCCTTTTGCTGTGGCCGACAACAGCTGGTGGGTTGGAAAGTCGAGACTGTCATGTTCCCTGACAGTGTTGCCGTCACTGCCTCTTCAGGATGCAACACTCATCTGTGGCCAAAGTGATGCTTATTTTTTTTCCCGAGTCAAGACTTTTCTGCTCCACTCTTTTGCTGTTCATATATGTGTCAATGAAATCAAACAAGCACTTTTAAGAAAGAAAATCAATGACAACAACCCATTCAATTTGCATATGTGATACATGAGTATTATGGTAATGATCAATGATATTTTATGAGGAGAAAACTGTGAATGGGGGTTTGGATTGATCGAAGGGGTCACAAGGAGGGGAGGCGGGAGGGAGTGAGCGAGTGGGAGGGATTGAGAGAAGAAGTGAATATTGTTCAATGGTTTTAGATAGGAGTTAAAGGGGCGTAATGGGAATTTTAATTGTTTGGGGGGAGGTTTTTTTTTTTTCTCACTATTTTTCAGTAGTAGAAAAGAGGGAATTGAGGGAGCCGGGTTGCTTTTGTTGTGGATTTTTGGGGTGATGATGTAAAAATGAGTTTTGACTTTTTATTTTCAATTTTTATTTTCATTTCTCTTCTATTTAGAGAGTACCTCTTGTATTTATGTGTTATGAGAGACAGGCGGACATGCTGGAACCTATTACTGTCTTCTGGATATGTTCGACACATACCCAAAAAAAAAAAACTCTTCTATTTATTCTCCACCAACCACAACTGAACTTGGTAGCAGCAGAACTTTGTTGGCATGTAGTTTGCAGACCCGGACCCTTGTCACTTTTACTTCGCCATTTTTTTTAAAAATCGCAAAAAAAAAAAAAAAAGACCCTTGTCACTTTTACTTCGCCTTTTTTTTTTTAAAAATCGCAAAAAAAACAAAAAAAAAAACAACAAATCAGCTACAAACTAGGTTACGTTGAATTTTACCCACCTCTGTTTCCCAAACTGCAGCCCTGCGCTCCGAAGAGTTTACAGTGGCCTTTTTTTGTCTTCCATGGCTGGAGCCATTCTGTCCCAGCAGCACGGGTTGTTTTTTTTTTGGGGTTTTTTAAATTTTCTTTTTAAATACGTTGATATCCTTTGACCCCCCCTCTCCCATTTTCCTGTCTGTCAGCTCCATGGCCAAGAGACTTTAAAGCTGCTCAGATCACAGGGAACAAAGACTGACCAGCCATGTCGCTCCAAAACACACTATGCTTGTAAAAGGAAAGAAAATGAAAAGATAATAAAATTGACCTAAATATACCTCATATCACTCAAGTGTAAGAAAGCAGGGACATGTGTTTTTCATGTATGTAGTGGAAATATTTGTAGTATAGGTTTGACATTGTATAATCATTTAACACTGCCTGTGTTTACAAGTATTGAGTGACTGACTCAAAATGCAATTGTATTTTTTTTTTCCTCCTGTAAAAAGCAAAAAAAAAAAAAACAAACAAAAAAAAAACACATCCTCTTCAAGCAGTGTTGCGTTCTAGATGCCTCATTGAACATTCATGTTTCTCATGCTATATCCCTTATTTTTGTTACTTGCCATAATGTGTTTTGATATGATCTCTAGAAGGATAATGTTTACAAAAATGTACAAAAACACTAAAAATGTGTGTTTTCAATGTCTGATTTTTTTTTTTTTTTTTAGTTTTTCTTCAGTATGCATGATAAAGACATTTTTGTATGCCTTTCCCCCCCCCCTCTTGTCACTTGAATACCAAATTTTGTAGCACAAGCCTCAATTTTTCCTTGTCTTATTTGTTCCTGGACTTGTGAGATGGATTTCCAGGCTGTACCCGTTTTTCATGCTGAATGGATTAGAAAAGCCAATAAAATGTTTGTTTTTTTGTCATAACCAGTACCTAATGTTGCTGCCTTTAGGTGCCCATTTTTCTATACATTTTTGAATATTGTTTTGGCAGGATCAGTGTAGAAAATAAATACTTTTGACAGGATGGTCATTATATGTTGACAAATGCTATAGGTTCAGTTTGGGTCATGGAGACTATTTTAAGTATTTTTTTTTATTTTTTTTAGCATACTTTTTGCCTTGCTCTCTCATTAGAATTACCGACAGTCTTTGAATATTTTTTTTTTCCTCCGACCTAGTTTTAAAAACAGTCCGATGCCTCCGTCGTCATTTTCTTAGGTGAATGTTATACTTTTAAAAACAAGTTGGACAGATTTGCCAACAATAATACTTTATTAAAATTTTGCCTGTTATCCAGACAAGTATCCCACAAGTAAAATCACATTTATAAAGAGAGTCTTCACATGACATAGGACATGGACGTGACTTTAAATGTAAGCAAATCCAAATGAAAGTCTTGCATAAGACTTGGGAAATGATTAAGACTTGAGACTGACTTGAACATGTTATTATATCTTTTTGTATATGTAATACCACTAGTTAGTGTTAACTAGTCCCATCAATGTTTACAAATGGGTTAATTGGATAGTTTGGTGTTTATGACATGAATTTATTTGTGATAAGAGAAAGCTAAACTTATTTTCTATAGTGTTTGAGTGAAAATCAAGTGAAAAGTGAAAAGAACCAGAGGCACTAGAGTTTGGTGATTTCATGCATAGATAAGGTTTGTACTTTTAAGGTGTAACCGGGGACGCCTTGAATGAATGCGTGTTGTAGCCCGGTGACGTTCGTGTCTGCTGCCACAAGGCGGCACTGTTTCCTTTAAAGCGACCAAGTGCAGCATCGACCATTTATTTAACTGTTAAAAAGAAGTAAGATTTAAGAAAAACAAACCTTGCCTATATTAAGAACTGGGTTTCTATAATAACCTAGTCTCGAAAGTTTAACGTATCTACTACAGATTTTCTTCTACTTAACCTAGATAGTTCGTTTCTAATCCGTTCTCTCGGCCACGTTTTAGTCATTTAACTCATTTATAATTTAATTTATTAGTCAGTCTCTATCACTTTATCTTTGGTATTTGGTGAGTTTTTAACGTTGTCTTGATAAAAACTACGTTTTTATCTCTTCTTTTTTTTAAAGAAGCTAACGTTTTGGGTTGGTTTTTTTTCTACCTGTTTTGATGAGAATCGCGTCAAGTCGCTCCTTAAAAGACGTTTTATTTTATGTTTTCAGTTTGGATATATGATGTAAAACTATTTTTAATTTTGTACTAAAATTTGATTAATTGGGATAGTGGCAGGACAAATTTGTCATCGTTGTCTAGCACTGGCATTAGTAATAATGGGTTTAAAAGCAATTATTATTTCTGATCAGTTTTTAGTAAAAACAAGTGTCATAAATAATAATATTAATATAATATAAAATAATTTTATGCATTTTTAAATACACAAGACTCTTGTTTCATGTCTGCACGTGCAGCTTATATTCCAATATGGCTTAATGATTGCATTTTAAAACATAAATTGATCCAAATGGAAATTAAATACTACTGTTGTTCCTCATTCGTGGGATATATGCAGTCCTAGTAGTAACATGTAACAAAGTAATGATTTAGGGAACTACTATTACGTTCTCCGTGCATCCTGAAGTGTTTCTTTTCATCCAGATCTGACGTGACTCTGTGCATGTACCAAACTCTGTAACCAGTAAAGCTGAGTGGGGTGACTAAAAGGAGAGACTTTTGGCATTAGCGTGCTAACTAGTGAGCAACCAGACTAAACTGATGTAAACCTGTAATCATCAACTCAATTTAGGAATAACACTTTACTCAGGTTTTTACGTCACAGAAGCGTCAGAGTGGCTATCAGTGGAAAAGATCACTATCTGATTGATAACAGGAGATAAGACGACGGACGTCAAAAGTCAGCACAGATTACCGGTACTCATAAGTTCAAGAAGGTTCTTCATGGGACTTAAGACCAGACCATTTTCAAATCACAAATTTTCGGCAATCCAGATTTTTTTATCATGTTTGTTATAGTGTGTTGCAAATAAAGAGTGAATTTTATTTTTTCCCTTGACAGCTCAGATAATTTTGTATGCTGCATTATATGTGAATTCGATTCTTATTAATTCATGAGAGAATATTAATCTGTTGAAAACACATTTTTATCAGTTATGTTCTTTAACCAGTTGCTAGCTACATGGGGTTACGACCCAATGGTCGGAAAACACTGACCAAGAGTGAGTAATAGGACCGAGGTATGGGACCGAAAACATGTAACTTACAAGATGTCCATGCACATGTAGAACATGCATGGGACAGACATCAGGCAAATAAACAAAAAGATAAGAATAAGCCTGTACAAGTTTTTGTCTCATTGCCAAGTAAAAAAATGGTCTGATCAGGGAGCTAGGCCTCAGCAAAGAAAACAATGGCAACAGAATGATGAATCTGACTATGAGGAGTGAAATGACAAGTGCTATGATTGCGGTAGGAGAGGGCATTTTTGCGAGAGCGTGTACAGCTCCTCGCAAACAGAAAAAAAA